GAAGAAAAGAAGAAAACTAGAAAACCAAGTCTATTTGGTTATACTAAGGGCCGGAAGAGATTTCTTTGTACCAGATATATAGTGTTACAAGAGGAACCCTTGTGTGTCAAAAAGATCCACATATGTGGCATTGAATTCATCTATCTAAAGTTATTTAATGCCAAGATTTGGATCCAAGAGCAACATGGTAGGCGGACCTGTGGTAGTTACAAGATGATATGCATTGAGGACGATAGAAATAATCCAATATGTGATAGTTGGCTGAATAATGAGATGGTAAGTGGTAGATGGCGTAAGAATCCACTGACAAGGGAAACAACTCGAATATATGTGGCAGGCCGGTTAAGTTATTGTGACATGCAATTACTGGAGAAAATATCACAATAATATGTTGGAGAAGGATAGCAATAAAGGGCCAAGGAACAACATATGCAAAATGCAGTGAGGGGACAATGAGGACATCGTATAATTTATATTTTGAAGCTTGAATGCCAATGAAATTAAGGTAAGCGCTTAATTTTTTATGGCTTCAGTACTTGCCACACTATTTATAAGTATTTTAACTTAGAGAAGGAGTGCTAGAAGTCATTTGTGAACTTCTTTTACTCTCCGTATTGTCATTTTTTCTTCAAACTGATTTGCTGATCAAGTGATCATATCAACTTCTTAAATAAGTTTTTTATTTAGAAGTTCTTTTTTTTTTGGCAGAAAGCTCGGCTGTAGGCTGATGCAATTCATATCAGAACACCATGCATTTACCTTATTTAGAGATACTGAAGTTCGCTAACCTTTCCAACTTATGTCTATATGCACTGGCAGGAAAGTGCAGGATTTTGTTGCAAATCTTGAGAATTCCGAGCTTATGAGGAGCTCTATTTTTTCACTAATTTTCACATTGAAAAACATTGAGGTAATAAGCACCCTTCTCATGCTTAAAAACCAAATAAATAAAATAATTACCTAATTCGCATTTTGTATCATCATTTCACAGAGTATCACCTCCGATATCTCAGGCTTTACAGCTGATGAAGCTATGAGGCGCCATTTGAAGTTGCTTATAAAATCTCTGAGCTGACTGCTTTGATGTTTGAAGTCCAAATGCTAGTAGCAAAACAATCCGTATAAACTTCATCAAATTGCTTTGCATAGGCTCATTTTAGTAGGAGATGTGTCATTTCCGGCAAATATTGATGCTTTTTCTAAGAAAGTTAGATTGCAATGCTGAAGCACAAATTTTATGCAGGAGGCTCAAAGGGATCTCAGAACTGTGGTAATAATTTCAAATATATTTACAAATTAAGCTTTTTGACACCCGTAAATATTGATGCTAGTTTAATAAATAATATTTCAAGAAACATTTTCTTCACTTTGATGTTTACTGTGCCATTTAAATGGTAGAAAAAACATGTAATGTAGTTAGGCAAATGATTGTGCATGTGGGTTCAATTTCTCCTTAAAGAATGCAGCATTTTCTGCCTTCTTTTTTCAGTCAACCTTTACTTTGTGATAAGTAAAATATCGGCCTTTTTTGCAATGATTTTTCTTTTTTTTTTTCTTGCTAAAACTTTGAGATTATAGTTTTGATTAAACTGCACTTATTACTCAACCATTATTCAAAAACTAGAATAAGAGAAACGCACTTGCAGAGCCATAAGTTCTACAGAGTCGCATGTGTCTCCTCAATTTATCATGTTTTTATTAGAGTAATGGTGATTGTATATCCTATGGCACAACAGTAGCAGAGTTCTGTCAAATAAAATTTTAAGAGAAGTTTTAATCTCCGGATGCACGCTTTATCTACTCAGCTTTCACGGGCTCTCTTTTTTCAAGTGTTGCTATCATATTTTGATAGTAACCTGTCCTTTGATTATCATCATTGTGTATTCTATAATGTACTGTTTCTTATTGTAACCTGGCCTGAAGCTCAATATGTTTCAAAAGTTTGAATTTTGACCTCGGAGAAAGTCCTGAACCGATTTTCAGGACTAAAGCTCTGTTGTAATTAGATTTGGGTGAGGACTTGGAAGATGCTTACCCATTTTACTACATATGTCCATCAGCTTAACCAAAACTAAGTTTTCTTTTCATAATATATGAATTGCTGCATTGTGATCTGAAATAACTTGCAATTACTGGCTACTCTTTTATAAATGATCCTCCTTCTCAACAAATACTATGAATTGCTTAATGGTTATATTACTCACACTTGCTTAACTTTATATATATATATATATATACACCCTATGTCACTTATGTTGTGCGTTTGATTTATTTCCATGTGCTTGATTATTTGTATTTGAGTTGGAGAAGAACTAAAAAAATGATAGCATTGATGCGCACTCCATTCGCTCATCTCTTGATGTGCTTGACCCTCACAAGTCATCCTCAACAACTCAAAATAATGTCTGAACAAGAAGAAATCAGAAAAAAGGCTCAAGTGCTTGATCAAATTGTGGAATGGGGGTGAAATTAGAAATCATATATATGTTGTCTCAACCAGCCAACATAATGCCAGCCAGGACAGGTAACAAAACATAAAATACAAAGGTGGGAAGCTGCATCGTTGTACAAAACTGCAATCCAAGAACTTTAAGCTAGTTAAGGTTTCGTTTGGGACAGCTTTTTTAATGCTTCTTAATGCAGCTTTTGAGTACAAAAATTTTACCTTTTGTACTAAAAAACTGTTTTAAGAAGCAGTGAGAAAGCCGTCCTAAACGAAGCCTAAGTGTGCAATATCTCAATTACTCTGAAATAGCAGCAACATCAAATGGCAGTAAGTTTTGTATTACGGTTATTTCACCTCCAATGGATTAAGCCAGGTATGTTCTCTCCCCTATCTGACTTTTTTATCGTGACTGATTTCTCTTGTGTCCTTAAGGAGGAATGGTCGGTCCTTAACAAAACTTTCATTCTATTAAGTATGGGCAGACTCATTTATTCCTTCAACCTTGTCTTGCATCCTGATGCGTTTCATCAATGCATGCATTGTCTAAATCATCATTTTCACCTCTTTTCGCATGGTTTTATGTGTAGGGGTCAACACTTGTATCGAAGATCCATTGTATCGTGTTGTTTCTTTTGTCCACTAGTCAATCAAAAGTGCTTTTCCTTGTTATATCTCTACAGATTTCCCAGAATCAGCTTGGGATATTGCTGAAATTCTGAGTTCAGCAACGTTTCTCTCTGGGTTTTTATTGATATTTCCCATCAGATTACCTCCCATTTCTTAAAAGATTTCCATCTTGGTGCTCTCAGAACTGTCTCAAGATCATTTTTTTTGAAGTTATTTTGTTATGCTAACTTAGATCTATTTATTTTTATAATTTAATGCATTTTGAAGAAGATATAAAATTATAAAATTATAATTTTGTATACACTTTTAGTAAAATTGGTCTCTATTATTCTATACACTTTCTTTGGGGTGGTTGTTATTTCTTGTAAAGTAGATATAAAATTATTGTAGGAAAAATGAAATTTCGAAGGATATAAAATTTATATAATTGATCAAAATTCCAAAATTTTATCTTATAAGCGAGTAGATTTGACTACAAATTTGTATGTTCATTTATGTTTATGAATACGCTCATTCAATGTTTAATAAGATGTTTATTTAATAATTATTTATTTGATGAGTTATTTTATTCCTTTATATTAAATTTTGTATATTTTAAACATCTTAAAAGATATTTATATTTTCAGTGATTTATATGATAAAGACATAAAATAAATAATTAAATGTAGTTTTAAATATTTTTTTATTGACATTTCAATTTAGTGAAGCAATTAAAATTTATAATTATGCAATATATTTAAGTTATTAATATAAATAGATAATTGATTAACTTCAATTAAAATCTAAATTTGATAATAACTAATAAATAAATTTGTCTAAGAAATAATAAAAAGGACTCAGCATTTAAGGCCATAATCAAACATGCCATAAAATTGAAATCACGACAAAGCTGCACAACATGGTTGTCAATAAGGCGTTCAAATGGGGAAATTATTGGGTCAGGTCATCAAACATGTTCGGAGTCCAATGAAAATGCGTCACATCACCTACTACTCAGTCGGTACTGAACTCAATATTGAGTAGTACCAAGCAATATTGAGCTCAATACTGCTTGGTACTCAGTACCGAGCTCAGTATTGTGAATACCGAATATAAGCTGTGTCCAGTGACCTGATCCAATAATTTCCCGTTCAAATGGGAGGAATAGTTAAAGAACATCTAGCAGGTTTAGCAATGGGCCATAATAACATCATCATCCATCAAAACCAAAAGAGAGCTTCCTGCGATCATAGGGCTTGCTGAATACCCAATCAAATACAGAATTCAAAATATTTTTCCAGCAAACACCGTTTAAAAACCTATCAAAATACTACGGCTCAGTACCGTAGCATCCGGACGTAGAGTTGCGTCCGACGACCTCTCCTCCGGTTGCCACTTGCCATAGGCCATCTTGGAGGGGATGAGAGAGATGACGCAGTGAGGATTCTAGTAGAGCAGCAGAATCCTCACTGCAAATACCAAGAATATTTTTGTATTACAGTAGCATTTAGAGTTAATATAGAGTAATGCCAGCCGAAAGACGCATTCCCAAGATAAGATCTCCTAAGTACCCAAATTTTTTTCTTTAATTTGCACCAAGTTTCCACAGCATTTTAATTTTTGGGGAAGATCTAGTAATATAGTGGGTTTCCTGTTTGCTCTCTAGGGGGAAGAGATCTAGGATTTTTATTCAGAGAGAAATGGATAGAAGTTCTTCCCTACATGGCTAAAGATCTATTTTTTAATGAAGAACCAAGGACCTGAGGATCAAAGATTTTTCTTAACTGACTGGCGAACAAGAAAGTATTACCAGTCTTTGGATCCTTGCAAAACATATGTAACTTTCACTGAGGTGAGGGTTGATCTGATGGAGCTTCAATAAAATAAAATACTTATTTTTAATCAATCCATCTTTGACATTAAAAGAAGAAGAAGGAGAAAGAAACAGTGGATCAAACAACACAAACTTTCCATTTTATAGATTAAAAAGCTATTTCACATTCAAGGAAACAAAACACAAACATAACACAACACACACACAAACAAGATAACTTCACTGCATTTAAACAGTAAAGATGCTTATAATTACATAATCATACAACTAATAAGTACCAACACCTTCAAGCCCACGGTATGATCTCTCACATATCAAGATCTTCAGCTTCATAAACTGATTCCAGTGTTAAAGGTCGACATTCTCTCTCACTTGCAGTTGCAGGGATTGCAGGTGCAGTTGTTGCCGCACTTGCAGCCTCCGTTCTCTGCTCCGATCCCCACTACCTCAAAGTGTCTGCAGACAAGGAAAACAAAGAGGGGGAAAAATGTTACAGCTGGGATCAGCTTACCAGGCAGAAGAGGGAAAGAGATAAGAGAGAGGAGATAAACCCTTTCTGAGGAGCAGCTCCGACGACAATGGTCTGGCAACTGGTGAAGGTTTCCTCTCCGAAGTCGGGGTACATCTTGCATCTGAGTTTGCGAAAAAAAACCAATTCGTAAAATAAAACAAGTGAATCGGCCATAATCACTTTTTCACATGAAATAGCACAAAAAACTTGATCATCCGTCTACATAACCCTAAAAAAACACACTAAATGGTCAAATTATAAGCAAATGCAGTGAAAAACATGTGAAAAACGATAATGCCGCATCAGTAATTCATCTTATCACCGGTATTGAAGAAATTTAAGAACAAATAATACAGGATCCATTAGAAAACAATCAAATCAGATCTTCACCTATACAATACCTTAAAAAAAAAAATCTAAGGAGAGCGGATGATTACCCAGAACATCCGGAGCCGCATTTGCAGGCAGCTCCGCACCCGCAGTTCCCTCCGCAGCACGACATTCTGCTACAAATCAAAAAAAGAACGCAAACGACAAAGCAAATAAATTCAAAGGGAGTTTCCAGTCCACTTCACGGTTTGAGAGTTGCAGGTTAGAGCTCCATTTATAGGTGAAAAAGGGCATCCTCATCGAAAATCCACCGTACACGTGTCATCATCGTGAGAATCGTACCCGTCCCATTTGTTGCTTCTGTTGTTCTCTTCTATCCTTATCGGATGGCTATTCGTCCACTTCTTTCTCTCTAAAATATATCTATCGCTCTTAGCTCTATATTATGATATTAGTTCCAGGTTAACAAACA